AGAAAATGACTGGAGTTTGTGGTCTAACTTATCTTCTAACTGACTATTATAAGAGTGGAAATTCAGGATTAGTATAAAACCCAGTACAAAGACAACTGGTTGCTCTGTTTACTGGACTGTAAATGAAGGATTGTGACAGTTGCTCTTGGAAAAAGAAAAAAACCATGAGGAAGGATAAAAAAAAAAAAACGTTGTTATTGTGTCTAAATCATTCAAAAGACAAAATGTTTTCACCAATGCAGGTCTTTGTTAGGGATGCCTGCATCACCATTCCAATCGATTATTTCTCTGCCCGGCTGATGAATGGTTTAATCCCAGACAGATAAAATGAATGACAAAGTGTCCATCATTAGTATCAGGGCTCCGGCCACCATTGGAGAATTTAGAGGAGATGAAATAAGCGATAAGATAAGGTATCGCTTCTGTTGCTCTGACTCAATCCTGCAGTGATTTCCATCTTGTTGCCATGAGCACCAGCAGCAGCCGGCTGGACATGACAGCCAACAGCCTCCCTCCCCCCTTCCCCTCTCCATCCATCTCTTTCCATCCTCTCCTCTCCCCATCGCCATCTGCCCTCTCTCTTTCCCCTCTACCTTATCTCTTCCTCCTCTCCCATTCCTCTATCGCACATCATCTCTTTGGGTTGGATTCAAACTCCTTCTAATCTGCCATTTTATCGGTTTTGGCCTCTCCAACACCAGGTCCATCCGTTTCTCACTTTCCATCCCCCCTCCACCACCCCTCTATCATCTGATGTCTCACCATCCCATAAGAAATGCAGTGTATTAGATATGAGAAATTGAGCAGACTGGGTTAGTATACTGCTAGGAATGACCTACTACTCAATAATTCAACACATCTGTCACAATTGACTGCTCGTCTGCAGGCCAAACAAGATAAAAGCTGAAGACACCATTTTTACAATGTTGTTTTATGTGCTATATATGATGTTCCCAATGATGAGAAATCTGTTGACAGACTACGTGCTAATTCCTAGGAGAATGATGTTAATATTTACCAAAAGAATGTTGGGTTCTATTCTCACTTTGTAGGCCTGTGACTCTAAGCCCGGTGCCCGCAACATCTTGCAAGAAACAGCGACTGAGGGCTTCTTAACATTTAACAAACTATGAATGTGTCATACCCACTTAACGGGAAGAAACTCAGCTACCTGACGATATGAAAAATGTTTACCGAAACAAAACACAAGTCTAACGCCGAGCCTCTGAATTAGCACTAAACGAAAGAATGCTAACGCACTTTAGCACATAACTCACGGTTGAAATATTGTATACTTCATCGGATCTGCACAAACAAGATATCATATGAAAGCGGATTCCACAGATTCCAATGGTATAAGTATCATCACTGAGCGACCAAAACTCACGGCAGCGAAAGCCAGCAAAGACAACACACAACTTCACTTTACGTAGCCAAAGCGGCAAATACGTCTTACCTTTGCTGTTTTCTAATCAAAAGTTGTGTTCAATGGCAATAAACGCATAAAAACGCTGCTGAAGGTTAATACAATGTCTCTGTATCCCTTTTAAATTATTACTGATAATCCATCATCATATTTATGGCAATAAGCCTAGTTTTCAGAGCGTAACATAGCTTTCGGTTTGGGCAAACTGCGTGCGCATCACTCTCACTCCTCAATGGTAACGTGTAGGTGGATTTAGGAACTTCCCCTCGATTCTATTGGCTCTAACGGTTCAAAAGAGGTGTCAATCACCAAAATCGACCAATGGGTTCCAGAGAAACGGCAAATACACCCAAATACACACCAAATGACCCCAGAGGTGTTTTTCTTTTGCTAAATCTCTCTAAAAAGGTCAAATGTCACTTGTTTTGCATCAATCTTGATACAGGGTACTTATATGTTATAGTTTGGATTCCTAAAGCTTTTAGTCTACTATCCCATCATTCAAGGGTGGTTTTCACTATAAGTAATTTTTTTTTCTATGTTCAATCTGAATTTACTTTAAAATAAAAACATCTATATTGATTCTGACTTTTCTACATTCAACTCATAGCTGTATCATTGCTTTGAGAAAAATACATTATTAATTTACCCCTTTTAGAAGTGAAGATATAGTCATTTGTTCTGGGAATGTCATTTTCGAGCTTGAGACCTGAAAAACAGGCTCAGGGCTTAACAGGTTAAGTTTAGAAATGTCTACACAGAAACTCTCTGCATGTCATTATTAAACTAGGGTAACGGCCTCAAGGCTGTATACCTCTGCCAGTGAAGTTGTAGTTTGCATGCATGTCTTTCCAAAATGTCTTCACCTCATCGTGTACCCTATTTCTTGTTTTACATTTGTGTAAATAGTCATAACTAGTGGTAAACACAGATAAAGTGTTTTGTGAAGTCACAGGGACCTTTAACCACCAAAATATAATCAGTTGATCCTTGAGTCCATCTGGACCTTTCAAGGCATTCCTGTTATTGTGTTTACATGAATCGGACTGACGTACAAACAATCGACTCAAAAAACCTGAAGTGTGTCACCTGCGGGGAGCTACAGTATGAGGAGTAAAATTGTAGAGAAAAGTCTGAATTGTAAAGTAATTTTTCTTTCTGATCTCTTAAGCCTTAAGACTTATCTTAGGACCCCTTGGGAGAGTCTTGGCCCCCAGGTAAGGGAACACTTACTGTATATATCTCCCATATCTTCAAGTGCCTACTAATTCATGAGCAAGAGTTTGTGAAACTTGGTTAAAAAAAAAAGGGGTGAAGGGTATGAATAAACAACCACAAGGTATTTAATATATTAATGTAAAAATCCCATCAATACAAAAGGGAGTGTTACATGCAGTGTAATACAGCTAAAGAAAATGTCAAAATCTACGATGGTGGGAATCAGCAAAAAGGGTCACCTATAAATTGTTTGTTTTCTGCAAATACTGTAAGCAACCTTGCAACACCACATCTGCTCATAAGGACTACAGCATAATGACACTTTTTATACTCATGTTTAGGATAGGCAAGACGTACTGTAGGTGGTCTGGTTTAATACAGTAGAAGTCTGCAGTATACCTGATATGATACAGTAAGACACACATCAGGTAAAGCAGGTAGGTGAGGAGCTCAGTGGAGGAGGGTGTAGGGACAGTGGGGGGGGTGGTTCCAAAAACTGTAATTGTCCCAACCGTGGCAGAAAGGAACCAATAATTCTACAGAATTTGCTGCTGTTATTGTACACACCAATAATGTGTACGCCATACACACAAAGTCAATTACAGAGCGACTGTGACCCAGAATCACAGCGGCTTTGACTGATTGTTACCTCGGCTGCTGTTGTCATTTGACTGCGAGCTGCCTCGACAGGAAGCTGGCCTGGCCTGGCCTGGCCTACCACACACACACACACACACACACACACACACACACACACACACACACACACACACACACACACACACACCACACACACACACACACACACACACACACACACACACACACACACACACACACACACACACCACACACACACACACACACCACACACACACACACACACACACACACACCCACACACACACACACACACACACACACACACACACACACACACACACACACACACACACACACACACACCACACACACACACACACACACACACAACACACACACACACACACACACACACACACACACACACACACACACACACACACACACACACACACACACACACACACATCACACACACACACACACACACACACACACACACACACACACACACACACACACACACACACACACACACACACACACACACACACACACACACACACACACACACACACACACACTAAACTCACACACACACACTAAACTGTCCATCAAGTCTTCCTGCCTCCTCTAATCAATCCAGGAAGCGACCTCTATTGATGTTCCAGTCCAGCGCTGGGGAAGACAGCCACCTCTGATCATTTGTCAATAATGGAAAAGTACAAATCAATGGAAAACGTGCAAACTGCGTCTCCACAACAACAGGACTGATCACTGAGTCCTCCTGTGGCTGACGACCACAAAGCAGTCGTCATAAATGAATGTGACATTTTTCTTTTCGCTTCACGGAAATATCGTTTGGTCTATTAAATGTCAGAGAATATATAGAAATGTCCCTCTCAGCTGCTCAAAGACTTTAAATGTCCAACCAAAACCCAAAGAAAGTCAGAGAAACAGCCTTTTTCTGTCAAGTCCTTGTCACGTTGACAGCTGGTTCCCCAAAAAAATTGTCTTAAAAAAATGATATTGTTTCATTGTATCGAATAGTTTCCTTATCATCTCTAGACATCAAAAAACATAGTGATCAAATAGGTCAAAATGGTATTGTTTCTTCTCTTCTTTACTCAATAAATATATAAAAGTACTCGACATGGTCTTTTGGATATTATGCAACATTAGTAGGACTTTTTGGATTTAGATCATTAGGTGATATTACTCAAATCTTTTGAATTTGAGTGCAATATAATGACTTTCAGTCTGCATGCCAGTGCCACATGAGCGCAGGTGAGAATTCAAATGAATTATTTTTAAACTGCCAGAAAAATGTAGATTTATGAAACTCTGCACACATAATGAAATGTAGTCTCAGATTTGTACGAGTCCTAGTATTAAGAGCAGTGTTAGGTGTTGCTTTTATCTTCAATCTTCTTTAATGTTTGTTATAACTTCACAAATTGCATTATATTTGTTATACCCTTAAGTCAGTATGGTTCAATTCCATCACTAAAACCAGGCATGAGAAAATGACATACAAAAGTATATAAAAAAATCCAATGTAAAATCCTTTGATTGAGACATCCAGCAGCCAATCAATAAAGTACAACTACCATCAATTATTGAGATTCATCCCCAACAGTTTCCATTTCTGATGGTAAGAAACTCAAAGAGCTTTCAGAAAACACAAAAGAAGAATGCTCCCAATAAGAGACTTCCACACAAACACAGACAGACGGAGATGTTTCTTCCTTACCTCGGCTGTTGGTGGCCAGGTCGGCCACCTTCTGAAAGGCATCCAGGAAGGCTGCTACCGCGACAACCGTCGTCCTGGGAAACACAGCAAAGGAAGGTTAGGATAAGGAGATATCCTTTGATATATCATTTTAAATTCAGGTTCTCTGTTATAGAACATTTGATAAAATTCTAGTTTGGGTTCATCTAGTGTGTAAAATTCAGGGAGAGCACAATATTAAAGTTACATCTTTTTTTACACAACAGCTCTTGGTACTCAGTTAGCCCAAAGTGCTACACTGACTTGTGATAGGGAGAATAGAACTGTATCTCTGTACAGTCTCACTTTGCTAACGCCGGTTCCTTCACTATTTAACCTTGGTGGCATGTACAGTCTCCCGCAAGTAGTGGTGGAATGTCACAAGTACATTTAATAAAGTACTGTATTTAAATACATTTTTAGGTACTTTACTAGAGTATTTTCCCATTATGCTACTTTATACTTTACTACATATTTTCGCCACTACATGTCTTTTACAAATGTAGTTAATACTGTAGCTACTTTGCAGGTATAAATTCATAATATAGAAAATTAATCAACTAATAAATCATTATGTATTACTATAGGTTAAGCTACACAGCAGTATATCAAGTAATACAAATAATCTCCACCTTTATCATGTGCAACATTGACGTTAATGCATTAATAATTATAATACAAAAATGTTATATTTTTAAATCTGATATGGGACATACTGGAAAATGAGTAGTATATTGTGATGCCACTGGACTTTTACTTAGGTGTTAATTCTACTTTTCCTTAAGTAAAGAATCTGAGTAATTCTGCCACCTTTACCGGAGAGAAGTATGTAAAGGTTAACGGCACTTTAACATTTCAGCAGTTCATTTTGGTGAAACTGAATGACACTTTTCAGAGAAAATGAATGGGTTTCCCGCTGATGTCAGCAGCAGAGTGTCCTGATGGATAGAAAGCGTGTTGCTAACCACTAACTGTTGCTAACAGTAGCTGCAATCAACTAGTTAGTTAGTTCTTGCACTTGCCTGATGGGCAAAATCATGAAAATACAGATGACTAAAGTATGTTACTTTAAACATTTAACTGCAGGTAATCCCCATGTTTAATATCATTTGCATGTAGTTTATTTTTTTTCATCTGTTAAACCAAATGTTTTTTTTTGCATCACGTCCTCTTTTATAAGGGACATATGAGAAGACCATTAGTCCCATTGCATAAAATGTCTACTTTGATATGCATAAGGACATACTTCAACACGTAACTATATCTTGCGGTTTACCTTGATCTTGCTATAAAAGGGAAATGGAAAGTCAATCTAAATGTGTGTTCTATGTAATGGCAGATGATGTGTAGTATTTGACAGGACTCTGATGAGGAAGAGGAGGAGTGATGCAGTCAGTGTTGGTAATCAGCTGTGACCTCTGCTGACCTCTGGCCCAGTGCAGAATCTCTGGAGGCTGCTGCTGATCCCTCTCACTGATAATGACTTTATAGTGGCATCATTCATCTCTGCCAGCCACGGAAGGTTAATTGAGTTGTGCTAGTGTGTGTGTGTGTGTGTGTGTGTGTGTGTGTGTGTGTGTGTGTGTGTGTGTGTGTGTGTGTGTGTGAGCAGTTGGATGTTAATGGATGGTTAATGGCTGGAAGGTTCATGTGGGTTTCTGTAGTATTGTTCATTACAAATTAATGTGTTTGTTTGCAGTTTCTATGTGTACGTTTCTCTCTGTGTTTGTGTGCGTGTACCTGACTCTCACGTACGTACGTACGTACGTACGTACGTACGTACGTACGTACGTACGTACGTACGTACGTGTGTGTGTGTGTACCAGATGAGGGCAAGGTGACAGAGCAGGAGAGGTGAGCATGACATTTAAACACTTAATGAAGAAGACCGATTGGATTTTCATGAGCTTACGTTAAACAGACTCTTGACATGTGTGTGCTTGTGTGTACTATCTGTGCACACATTTGCATTTTGACATTTTGCAATGGCATAAATGAGTCCCAAACCTATAAATTAGTTAGCATTTACTGGCTCCCTCGTCTCAAAGTCAATGGCTTTAGAATGGGTTTTAGTTTGATAACCAAAATAAGGTTTGTGGTTTATTGAAGCTTACAAGATTTTCACGTTTTGTTCTAAGAAGTAAAAACCCCATAGTGAACGTCTGAAGCTTTATAGGTCGTCAAAACGGTGGCTGCTAACAAGTGGCTAAATAAGACTCCTTAACGTCATCACGCCCAACATTAGCTGCCCTGATAAATATGTACAAAATAAGATTAATTTACATTAACTTTTTTTATTTTCAACATTGCAATCATATAATTTCAGAATATTTCATTAGATAAAATGATTTTATTAGATTATATTTTAGATAATGATTAGATTATCATTCAATTGAAAGATATTGCCTTTACCAGCGTTGCAAACCCAATTAAATAAGCTCGAAGAGTTGCTAGAAGTTTGCAGATGAGGCCATAAACTCGCTCAAGCCGGTCACTGGGATTACTTTGAACTGCATGGATGGCAATGGATTAAAAAAATAATTATTTTAAATATATTCCTAGATAGTTGCAAAATGTGCCACTTTTTAATTTTTTTAAGTTAGGAGTGTCTGAAAATGTATAATTTAGATGGAGAAAGTTGGCAACACTGGCACAGCTAGCATTAGCTTTCTAATAAAACCTCTGTTTGCATGGGCTATGAAATGTCTTGTTTTCTGAATTTGTTGTTGACATGTGTGTCTTTTGAGTGTTGTGTACTAAAATGTGCCGCATGATTTGTCAAAGTGATGGAAATGATGCCTTCATTTGCTCTGTGTGACGTCCACCAGTACCTGAGCTGGGACTGGAGCTTGCTGGCCTTGCTGATGAAGTCGTCCCACACAGGGTAACTGCCCTGAAAGGAAAAGAGGAAAAAAATATCAGAATATTGAACTTTCCATGATATCAAACTTTTTCTTAGCAGATTGTATCACACACACACAGCTGCACAGCAGTGAACTAACAAGTTGATGCTTTTTCAAAGAAGGTTTAAAATAGTGTCACTGTAGTTTTAAATTGTTGCTTTGACCAAATATCTTTTCAATGTGGATTGATTATGTCTGGCAAATATCCTTGAATGAGGTCAGTTTGTGTCCTGAAAGAAACGTATCAGGTCAGTGTGTTTGGAGCTGGGTTGGGGGCGATATGGTTCTGTAAATGTAAATGTAATATACTGTAATGTTCTGTGCATTTAATTAATTAATTAATTGTTTAAAATAGCCGTACCTTACTTAATCACGAGACAATAACAAGTCCACAGGTAAAAAAAAAAAAAACACCAGCCTGACTTTATTCATCACAATAAGCAATGTAAGAAACACAAATATGTATTTCAAAGTAAAAAAAAAGAAAGACTTCCTGAAGGTTTTGATAATCTTTACATTTCAAAAAGGTGACTGTGCAAATGGCTGGTTATCACAATGGCCTAGACCCCTCATCCTATATTCAACTAATGTACCTACATGGCTGCCCAAATCAGAGAAGCTGGATATGCGAAATCTTCCAAGATCATGGAGAGTAGCAACACCCGGTATAATAAGACTACCAATACCCTCCATCATGCTCTCTTTGGTTTGCAGTTCTCAAACACACAGTTTGTGTTTTCTTTCATATTCATTTACATTGAAGATAAACATTCTCAACTACAAAATAGCCAAAGCAATTCTTCTTCATAGAAAGTTTGCTAATAAAAAAAGATCCTGAGGCTGAAACACATAAATCAGATGCAGCAGTGAGCCAACACACAACAAGGAGACGATCAATACTCCAATCCATACACCCCACCCACCCCAGCATGTCCAAAGGAAGCAAAACAAGCGCCCCCAGGCATGCACATAGTTTGGGTCCCGTGTCTGGGTTGGCTGCAGTGCGGTAGTGCCTGATGTGTGTTCAGAAAGCATGCTGCATGAGGGAGACACACAGCTACTGCAGCCCAACACACGGGCAGAGAAACGGGGTACGCTTCAATGTCAGCGGGGAGCCTCTCGTGTTTTTGGGGTGGGGCTTTCTTTTTACTGCAGTGAAACATCTGAGGCATCTTCACTCAGAATTCACAAAATCCAAGAATTCAAACAACTTTAAACTCTTTTTGTCTGCCTGCTGTGTATCGATTTAAGATACGCAGGGTAAGGACAGGATTGCTCCACAGAAAGCTACGGCCTGAAACTAAGGTTATGGACATGAATGAACATTTCTTTGCCACTGCCAAAAATGAGCAATACACATTTTGTTCAGGGTTTTATTGTTTTTTAGTTCCATTTGTACTTTATAAGCATTTTGCTACTGTGAATAGCTAAAAAAGGAACAACTTACTTACATTATGGTTGCTGCAAAAGTAGTTCTCTATATCTCTAGAAGTGGACATCTGGTTAACTACCTTTGTTCTGGAGCTGTTTTTCAACATTGAATTGATTAGTCAACGATGTAGTTTACATACAAAAATGGCGAATTTAATGTCCTGTTTTCTTTGTTTATATCATATTAAAAAAGGGAATATCTTTGGATGTTGGACAGACAAAATAAGACATTTAAAGTCATCACCCTGGACTTGGAGAAACTGGGATTAGTGGATTTCTTCACAACCAGTAAAGAAAAGAGGTAGCTAGGTCTGTCTCAAAGATAATTTACTTTTTGTGTAAAAACTGTGGAAGTTGTCAGTTTTTCTTTTACATTGTACTATGAGTGGATTTCATCATGGCCAGTGTGGAAAAGATTAATAGTTACAGCTGTGCTGCTCCTGATAACTACACTATCGTGCAAGATTTTCTTACCTTTAGGAATGTATTAACAGTGCTCAAGTTGCATTTTCTGTTTAAGCACTATGTTTTGTTTTGTATTTAAGGATTTTTTTTTCCATATTCCAATTAATATGTCTGATTATTTTTAAGAACTAGAAGGTCATTGCTCCTTGTGTGGGTGAAGTGGCATTATAATGACATTATAGTGCATTCAATAGAGAGCATTTAATAGTCTTCAAATTACAGTAATATCCTTTTTCTGGGACAATATGTTTTATAACAAAAGTAATTATTACAATGGGCCAGATTACAGTGATTAATATCTGGATCAACATTCACACAGTATCATTTTAAGATAGATGTAATAATCCTCCTGCCCTCTGTGGGCGGTGCCTCCAGTCGGCGTCCCCCTCCTCTCTCTCACTGAGCTGGGTGTGTTCAGCCTTCCTTCTGTTTGTGGGAGTGATGCCCGGCGTCATCGCCTGGTTACCGTTGCTATAGTAACGGTGCTGCTGCTGCAGAGGGGCTTCAGACGGAGAAGGATATTGTGGGGAGGGGAGGGTCACACGTGCATGCATCCTCAGCCAAACACACACACCATTTTTTTCCATGTCACACATTTTTTTTTCTTTGTTTATTTCAGTCTCCCTTTCTCATACTTCTATTTCCATCTTTTTGTCTTGCTTTCATACGCTGCACATTTTTCATTCACTTCCTTTTATCCTTGTCTTTTTATGACCCATTCATCATCTCATGGCTATTACACTGTATATATATACCCACATCTCATTACATCCTCTCTCGCTCACACACCCAGGCGAGGGCAGGGCCGCTGCATCAATCAGTCACTGAGGACATAAATTGTCACCGTGGCAACAACCGGAGGCAGCAGGCTGCAGGTCCTTCAGGAATCCTCTGCTCTGTTTGTTTGGCTATTTGAGCGCCTGCACAGGCTTTAAAGCAAGAAATCTGTTTGTTTTTTCTTTATCACTGATCCTCTGAGATAATAAACACAAATCTATTTCCTCCAGCTGGGAAATGATCTGTAAGCTAAAGTCAAAAGCCTGAGGAAATGACTGAATATTTGCAACAGTGCAGACCTCATTTTCTTTTGTGAGGCTTTTCAAGTGTCTACCTTGTCTAAAAGGTCCCCAGGTGGATCAAACTGGGGATGTAAAGTCTTAAACCCTTAGGTCCCCACTACATAAAGGTGTACATCATTGCAGGAAAGTCAGGCAGGAACAGCAGGTGAACAGAACAGTTGCCTTGTTTTGCTATGAATAGGCATAGAACATATACAGATGTTCGTACCCTGGAATAGAAACACCATTTGGTACCAGAGAAATGTAACAAAAACATACATTGGACAACACATTGTACGTGGCTAAGGGGCGGGACCATCTCTAAGTGGTTAACCAATCACCACAGAGCTTGCCAGCTAACCAATCAGAGCAGACTGGGCTCTGGTTTCAGACAGAGGGTGAAAAGAGGTGCTGCAGCACAGGCAGTATGAGAAAAATAAAGAGCTTTTTGAACATTAAAGCAAGGAGACATGTCACAGTAGAGGAGCAAAATACTGATATGAACTGGAAAATGAGCACAATATGTCCTTTTTATAACCTTACATGAGCATGTGAAGAAGTAATCATCAAGTTGTGATAGAGTGAGCTAATTGTAATAGTAATTCCCTGGAACATTTGCCCAAAAAAATCCCAGCATTGGATTTCACCGCTTAAAGAAATCAGACACACTTCCACTGACATCACACAGTAAACAGAGAGGAAGTGTGATGTCGGAGAGAGAGTCAAAGTCAATAATCAGGCCAACAAAAAAAACGAAAATCAAAGTGACCCATTTGGCCGAGGCACCGGAGCTAACTCTGTCTGTGATGTTTCCATGACCATCCCTATACTGACACACAGCAGCCACCCAAAAAAAAGAGCAGGATTATTTTAGCTCAGAGGTGATTAAGACGACGGCTCCTTGCAAGATAAATGGTGATTAGCATTCAGCTAATATGCTCAGAGGCATTACATTAAACCACACACACACGAACAAACAAGTCAGGAAATCTGGTTGTTTTAGCAAGGTTAAAAAGTGTTTTCTTTTAAGTTAGCATCACAGTGGTGTTCACACAATAAAATACAATGAAATGTGCTTCCTGTCAATAGTCTGACTCTCACAGGAAGTACAGGAAGTCTCTTTCTGTCCCATGCTGCCTCACATGCTGCCTCACATCCATTACAGGACATTGCCGGCCAGCTAACCAATCAGAGCAGACTCTGCCTTTTTGAACATTTAAGCATGTAAACATGTCAGCAGAAGCACAAAACACAAATTTGAACCTTAAAATGAGCATTATAGGGCCCCTTTAACCCTAAAGGAAATTAATACATACAAAATACATCTTATTTTTTGACTGTCCTTACATCATTGTGCTTATTAAAATGCCGTATGGTCCACCTTGTGTCGCCAATGCCGTGTATCCTGAACATTTCTGATTGTAAAAGGAGATGGCGACAAAGGAAAGGGTTTAAGTTCCTTCAGTGGAAAAGGGATACTTTACTGTTTCACATATAATCTCTCAACTTTGTGAGAAATAAAATAAAAACACCCTTATTATAAGTGACAGACGTGCAGGTAGGGTGACCAGGTCCCAACAAACCAAATGTGGGACAAGGAGTATGTTTGTGTGGGACAATGTGGGACACCCTCTCAACACCCCCCCCCCCCCGTTGAAAATGTACTAGCGGTGATTATTTGCGGTACCGAGGTGGGCCGGTCGAGAGTCCCGGGCTGATTTGTAGTCCCAGTCCGCCGCTGCCCAGGGGTAAATGTCTTCCCAGTCTTTGTTGTATGTGCATCTTCTTCTTTTCTTAGCTGTAGTTTCAGTTTCCTCCATTTTCCATAACCTGCTGCGTCGCCTGCGTTATTGACTTTCATTGTTGTTGTTTGGCGGGGCCGCGGCGGTGTGTGTGTGAGTGAGTTACTCTCATTGGTTAACACTTGACCAGCACCCGCCGTGTCTTACAGTTTGATTGACAGCAAACACAGCTCCGTGATGATAGCCTTCCCTGCTTTCTCAACAGCCATTGGATAAATCTGATTTTAGAAAAGC